TTGAATTTGATTGCAACATCCATGTCCATGGAAAAGTTTTTTGTTGAAAACAAATCAAGGCTATGGCTTAATTATCAAAGCACTACAAGAGACATAAAGAGATACATGTTTCTGATACTGCTTTTTTCAAAAATAGCTCCCTTCACACAGTTATCTACATGTTTAATTTCCATGCATAATAGCAATAGTTATTGTTGTCATTTGTTAAGAGAGATTAACAGATAGTAAGTACAAACAAACGCAAATAAGGTCTGAATAGAGAGGTGACAAAGAAGAAAAGACCTCTTTAATGTTAATGATAACTGGTAGGAAGTCTATACAAATGGCATTAACTGTTTTCTATATGAATTGAAGGGACATTTAGTGAGTTAGTATCTACATAACACATTGGATTTTTTTATTGTAGGCAACAACTTGGAGATCTATTTTTTAAGCATAGTTTATTGAGAAATGTGCTGTTTAGTGAAAGTTGTATGTTTTGATTATTACTTCTTAGTAGTTGAAAATAAGTATAATAGTAAGCTGTTGAATTCAAATGTTTATTTTTCTCCTAAGCTATTGTTTTTTGTTAAAGCAGGGGTTTTCAGTCTTTTTTCACCTGTATTTTGTGACCAGCAAAGTTCCCAGCACATTCTTCAACAGTAACTTTATTAGATTGAAACAATTGCATAAAGAAACTTGCTTTAAATGTCATTATTTAATGGTAGTTTGGGTGGACCATCTGTGCATTCCATTATAAGATGATAGAAGCAGTACCTTGCAAGCGGTGTAGTCCTTTGTTTCTTAATTGTTAGCTAAAAATGCCAATAGGTGGCAGAAAACACACTGTTACTTCTATCATGCGTTATTTTCATGGTTGTCTGTTTTTGAGTATTGTGCTCAGCTGAAGTTGGGACGCTGCTCCCATTCCAGGCTTTGTTTTTTCAGTTGCACTTGCATTTCCTAACTAAATACTATCTGACAGTTTCCATGGTTTGTTTTTCTAGTATAATAAATTGTTTTAAAGTTCAAATGGAGTCATTTAATATGTTTTGAGTCATGAGTGTTCTCTTCGTGCACACAGAATCTTTTCATAGTTACAGCTGAAACAATTATGCTCTTAAAACAGGAGGGGTTTGGAATCGATGAGGACACGCTCTGCACCTCCCCCTGCCTGGCTGTGTATTTTAAGGCCCTGTGTGTGTCAGACTGCTGCCAAATACTTCATAGAAAGGTGGAAATGCCACGTAATAAGCAAATATAGCATAAACAGCTTTCCACACAGAGCGTTGCTTTTGTCTCTAAGAATTAACGGAAGATCTGTGACAATTCATTATCCTTTTCAGAAATGTTTTTGTGTTTTCCCTCACTGTCTCTAGTGGTATTCTCAGTACTCACAGAAGTGAGTGCCTGAAGATCTCAATGCTATCCTTAAGTAGCTTTTTTTCAGTAGAAAGTTATTCCATGTCTATTAAAATTGAGTTATTTAAAAAATATGAGGCAACAAATTAATACCTTCCTCTTTTAGAAATAAATCTTAGGTTCATTTGCAAAACCAGAGCTAAGGACTAGCTTTTTTACTTGAGGCTCATTTGTGTCTGCTGACTCCAGAAGACACAGGTCAGGTGTCTTATGTTAGGTCAGATCCTAATTTAGGACTTTTCATAGTGAAGCATCTGCTGCTGAAGTAGCTCAGTCTTGTTGAGTGGTGTCTATGTTTCTAATGTCACATGTGAAATATTTGTCATAAATAATTTGTACGTGACAAGGAGAGTGGTACTAGGACTGCTAGAGCAACAGTTGTGCAAGAGAACAAACTGAAATCTATAGGACATTTCTGAATTCTTGGATTTTTCTCACTGTGCAGTATTAAATATGTAATGATTTATGTTGTTGATCTACATAACAGTAAAACTCAATCGTAGTGATCAGATACACTGATTATACTGTTTCCAAAAAGCTTGCTCTGACACTAGGTCTACCCTTATTTTGTTAAGAGCTGGAGCAGAGTTTGCCTCATACCAAAATCTGTTAGGTGAATTGCTTTTTGGAGATGTTTTTTTCTTCCTACACTTACTATAAACGGATCATAGGGTGACTAGCTTACACTGGGTATGAGGCTTTTAGATATCCAAAGTTCAGTGAAATGGACCCTAACTGCCTGTCTTAGTGGACTCTTTCCAGTTCTGCATTACAGACTTGAACGTGCATTTTAGGTAGTGCTATATACCTTGCCGTTGGTGTGAAGTTCCCCACAAGGTTTTTCTGGTCTGCCCACATGGATGTAAAAGCTACTTTCTGCAAGAGCAACAGGAAGTGTTTTGATGGGCTTGGCACCAGGTGGGATGATGTTGAGGATATGGCATGGCTGGAGAAATGGTGAAAGAAAAGAGGTCTCTGGAAATAATAATATAAAAAATAAATGAAGGAAAGGATTTGAGGTTTCATCTTAACAAACAAAAATGGAAACAGGCTTCTGGCACTTTTTAAAAGATTATAAAAGAATATATTTTTAAGTTGAAGAAAGGGATAAAGCTGACAAACATGAAAGAAGAGAGTGTTCAGGTTATCTGATCCTTTAGTGAACAAGCTGCAAAATCAAACAAATTCTGCATACTACAGTAACCGATAGGGAAGACAGTGACAAAAATTTTAAAAAGAAAAACAAACCACCAAAAACCACTTTTAAGAGTAGACACAGACAAATCTCATTTTAACAAGGTTTTGGAAAATGGAAAACTAAAGTTTATATATTCCTCCATGTGAGTTCTAAAGCATTTGAAATAAAGTAACTCAAATATCTAACTTTAAACTAAACTGCTGACATAGTAATATTGAATCAGGACACTGGATTACTGACGTACAAAATACAGATTCAGTTTTGGCCATGTCAGTGAGAAAGGAAAACATAAGTTGTGTCTTATTGACAAATTTGCTTTGCCAGCAGACCAGGATCTCCGGGAAATGAAGTGCAGAAAAGGTATATAGTTGCAGGCTTTCATTATTGACTTGTAACCAAGATGGTGGTAGTGACAGTAGTGTTCTAAGTGGAGCTGTGGAAACTGGGAGGGTAGGAAACATGATAATAATTGGAAACCTGAGTTGCCACCGTGGAATTCAGGTAGAAGTCATTGCCAGAGCATAATATTGGGACAGCTTGTTAAAGAGCCAGTCAGAAGGGAGGCATGCAACTTTTTGCGTTGTTCTCTGATTCATAATATTGCTGTCAAAGTCACAAGAATCCTGGTCTGGTTAGATTAAATGTCTTTGCAGGAGCAACAAAAACGAATTTTGGAAATAGAGGCAAAAATGAACAGTCACTATTCCCAACAGAGACATCAACAGCTGATAGTCTGAAATGCAGAGTTTGACAGTGCTGAGCTGCTCAGGGTTGGTAAAAGCAGGAACTTTTGAGAGGGGTTGCAGAAAAACCTTATGATGCCGAGTTGACTTGTCAGTTAACAATGGGAGATTAAATCATCTGCCAAGTAATGTGAAGTGATGCAGATCCAAAAAAAATCATCTTAATTTTTCATACGATGTGTATATTGACTTACTAGTGAAGAATAAAATTATATTTCTTGGATAATAGTAAATATATTTCTGGGAATGACTGCTCAGTGCTGAAATGCTCAGTAGTACTCCAGAACTTGGCGAAAGAAAGGAGGCGAGAACAAGATGGTAAATACCATCGTGTTTCTGTATAAATTAATTTTCATTTGACATCCTGAATAAAATGTGCAATCTGGTTTTGTCTCCCTCCCCATTTGTCCCATTTTCCTCCACCTCCTCATTTGAAAAAGGACCTGGAAGAGCTTCAGAGAAGGGCAACAAAGATGTGCAGTGGTTTCCATGCAAGAAATGACTAAGTAAATTAGGACTGTGGTTTGGAAAAAGAGTTTGATTGCGGATGAAGTGATGGAGATCTATAAAATCATGAGTGGCTTGGAAAAGGTGAATGTAGAACGATTATTCCTAGTCTTTACTGATACAAGAACTAGAAGGCATTAAAAAAGAAAATCTTTTTGTGTGTGTTGAAGAAAAATAAGATACTTTTTTCATATAGTGTGTAGTTCTGCAGGATGTTGTAGATGATAAAAGTTTACATTGGTTCGAAAAGCACTTGAAGTTCAGTGGGGTGGGTGTAGCAATGCATGCATCACCACTGAATATAGAGACAGTGAGGTCCTTGAGCCATTTCCAAAAGCTGGGAGAATCTTCTGGAAAACTTCTACTGTGTGCTTTCTCTTATGCTATACCTTAGGTATCTGCTGTTGGTGGGTTTTAGAGATGAGGTGCAGCATTGGTTTAACCTGTGCTTGGACCTGGTACAGAAGGTACCTCCTTCCCAATCCCAAAAGCATTCTTTCTTTCGCAGTCTTAAGAGAAGCCTTTTGCGTCGTCTCCATAAGCTGACATAGAGCAAGCTGGCTCAGATTTTATTTCATTTTAACTCAGCAAAATGTTAGGTTTTCTTAAATGAGTCAGTTTATGTTGAAGTCTCAGTAGCTTTCTATAAAAAAAAATTATTTTAAAAAAAACAGGGAAAAGAAAAGAAAGCTTCTGGCTGTCATCAGAAAACCTAAAAGTTGAAACTGTTTTTCCCTTCTAAAGTACAAGCAAGGAAATGGCACTTTACTTCAAAATTTAATTTGTTACAGGTCTCTGGGGTGTCTCGCTGTCTGGTCTACATTCTTACATAAAATAATGCTGTTATATGTTAACATTGTCTGAACTGGAGAAAAGCAGAGGTTTCAGTATATTTCAAGGAGGGGATGACTACAGTGTGCAGAACGTGGAATTTTGAAGCAAGAAGGCTTCAGCTTTGTTCTCCACTATTGATTGTGTTACCTTAAACAAGGACCTTCACTTCTTTATATGTATCAGCTTCACAGAAGACATTAAAGTTGGGATTTTTTTTCTTCCTTGAGTATGATTCATTGTTTACGTATGGTAAAAAGAAGTTGTAACTTAAATTTATGGTAAAAATGTATTTTCTTCTATGTTATCTTCTTCTGCAG